TTTTCCATCCAGCCTCTGACTGGCCATCAGTGTGCAGACAGCCTGCCCTGAGACACAGCCTCTCCACACACTGAGGAAATAATACTGCAAACCCCCCCACCTCACATGCAGCCATGCAGAATGGTGGCAGAGAAGAATCTCATCTAATTTTAACTCTCCTGATGGATGGGCTTTGTTCTTTGCAGCAGCTGCCCCGCAAGGTATGAAAACACTCAGATATGTTGACATGGGAAAACAAAATACACAAATCAGCCCATTTTCCTCTTCAAGGCTGATTTATCTGGAGCTGTCAGCGGAGGGAGGGGAAGTGATGAGCCCCAGGGAAATGAGGGAGCAGCCTGGACTTGCAGCTCAGTGGTTAACAGTGCAGTTGGACTGATGCTCATCGAGCATCTGGTCCATTCTCTTCCAAGCCCCAAAACATCTCAGATCTACAGAGAACAAAGTGATATTTTCTGCTGCAATTCCCCAAGGTGTGATTCTGTGCATGTCCCGGCTTATCCTTATAAATGAGGGGAGCTAGATGCCAAAGGAGCCCCCCTAAAGTGGTTCAACACAAGCTGAGCTCCATCCTGGTACTCCCGTCGGTTGTGTTGACTACTTGGTTTTCTGAGTTGGGATGGGTGGATCAGACCCTGGAGAATGGTGACAGCAGCTCAGGGGGAGGAGGATGGTAAATCCAGGGTAGGTGCAGCACTTCTATAATAGGGGAAGGAAGGAAGGAAGGAAGGAAGGAAGGAAGGAAGGAAGGAAGATTTCCTCAAATGGGAGGTGCAGCTCTCATCTGGATTTCCAGCTTTGTGGGAGCCTATATCCCGTCTCCAGTTTCCCATCTTTGATCTGGAAAATCCCATCAGCTCAGCCTGATGAGGCTCCTCCTGTTTGCACTGGCTCTGCTCTACCCAGGTGTGTCTTGTTAGCACAGCTCTCTCCTGCATCATGATCCCTCTCTCATCTCCTGTTACACATCCCCCTGTTTTTAAACTTGGCCTGCAAATCCCATAATGGATTTGCACATCCAAGGGTTTCATTGTCTGGAAAGGAAGTGGAGGGGAAGGGAGCTGGTGGGCTTGACAACAGCCATTGCCCCCACATTCCTTCCTTTGTCCCAGGAAGGGTTGCATTCACTACCAAGAGTAAAGCCATGCAAATAATTCCCTCTCTTGGCAGGGTGCAGGTGAAACATTCCAGAAGCTTTCAAGGCAGCATCTAATTTTTACTTATAGGGCAGTGGATTTGTTGAGAGTTTTATTCATTTACTGTCACAACAATTTTGGCTCCTCTTGAACATCCAGGGATGTGATGTTCCATCAACAGAGCCCTATAAAATGGTTTTGTGAATGTGAGTAGGAAAGCAGGAAATGAGATAGAGAGAATGGTGCCTGCACACATAGTGTGTGCCTGTCTGTAGGAACCATCCAGTACCAGTTCATGTGAGGTTTAGGAAGGGTCATGGACAACACTGGGACCAGGATGCACCACCTGTGGTGGCATTTCAGCCCCAGGATCAATTGCAGATGCTGAGCTCCAGGTCTGTGCAGTACTTGCTCTAGAAATGAAACTCTGCACAAATAAAATCCTGCTTCTGCAGCATTGGGAGGCAAGAGAGCAGCACAAGGACTGCAAGGGAAGCAGGAGAGCCCATGGTGTGACATTGAGGGCTGCTCATCTTGCCAAAAACCACCCTTGCCCCAACTGAAAGCCAATGCACCTGGTTGTCTCAGCACTGGTTCTTCAGATTTGGGGCAGAAATCCATTAAAAATGAAACATTTCCATCCCTGGAAGTGTCCAAGGCTGGGTTGGATGGAGTTTGGAGCAACCTGGTGTAGTGGAAGGTGTCCCTGCCAGTGGCATGGAGTGAAATTAGATGGGCTTTCAGGTCCCTTCCCACCCAAATCATTCCATGATTCTATGAAGATAGGCACTATGAAGGGGGAATAAAAAAAATGGAATTTCCCCTCTCTGAAATGTACAGACAGGACTCAAGCTGGCTGCCAAACTGGAAATGATATAAAAATATCTAAGCAGTTTTATATATTTATATTTTAGATATTTTTCTATTTCTATCATAGTTCTATACCTGGCAGAATTGCCCTGGCCCCCATCTCAGCAGAGGACACAGCTGTCCCTGTGTCATCAGAGATCCAGTGCAACACTCTCCCTAACAATATCATGGCAACATGAGAGGCACTTAGAGAGTCTCAGTGTCCTTCTGAATTCCCAAAAATCTTCATGGAGAACTCATCCCCCCTGTTCCCTCCTCCATTTACCTCCAAAGATTGCCATGGATTTGGACTGGAGTCTGGCCAGAGCATATTCATGGCACCTGCATGTTATTTTTATGTCCATTTTGATTAAAACGAATAAATTCCAGAGGAGAGGGTCTTCTCAACATGAAATACACTTTGTCAAGTTTGCATTCTCTGAGTAAATCAAAACACTGCCAACAGTTGCTCCAGCTGTAAATCCACTTGGACGGATCTTAGCTCACCAGGCAAGTGACAAGAATTCTGCTCCTCAACAGCCTCAGCATTGCTCTCACCACCTCAGTTTGATATATGATTTATTTTTCAGGGTGTGGGGGAAAAAATAAGAGCTAAGGCATTGCCACGCAGAGCTTCTCTTAGAAGCAATCTCTGCAGGAGAGCAGAACTCAAACCAAGATCACAGAATCACAGAATGGTTCAGGCTGGAAGGGACCATAAAGCCCATCCTGTTCCACCCCCTGCCATGGGCAGGGACACCTTCCACTAGACCAGGATGCTCCAAGCCCCATCCAACCTGGTCTTGGGCACTTCCAGAGATGGGACAGCTGCTCTGGGCACCTTGTGCCAGGGCCTCCCCACCCTCCTGGGGCAGATAAAATGGCATCAGTCAAACTTGTGATGCAGAAACCAGTGCTGGGGGTCAGGACCTGCCAGACCCACCAGACTGCATGCACTGCATTAAGTTGATGCTCTCCTTTCCAACATGTCTCAGTTTCCCCAATTTTGGAAACTCCATCCACAGCAGCAGGAGCAGCAATAGCTGAGAGCAGGCAGGTGAACACCAAAGCCCTTTAAGGGCTTTCCATTTGTTTTATGTGTCCACTGAGTTTATTTTTAACATTCCAGCTGAAATAAATTTCTAAAGAAATGCTGGAGCTGAGCCGAGAGGACGTGTTTGCTGGAACCTGCCAGGATGATTAATCCTTTGCAGATAACCAATCAGAAAAGGGTCAGTATGGGAGCTCTGGCCATGCTGGGAGCCAAGCGAGGGGATGAGTTCTCTTCCAGAGAGCTCCTCAGCCACACTAAAAGCTATTTTACACTCCCCAGCCTGATGTTTCCTTCCCACTGGGAGAGATCAGCAACCAGCCTGCATCAGAGCTGGGCACAGCAGATACTCAACACTTCACTCTGGGTCTGGGAGGCTGTTTTCACCCAGGAAGGAGTTTAAATCCTGTATTCTGGACCACACACAAGTGCAGAACATCCCCCTCTGTCCTGCCTGGGCTTGTAAAATCACTACAGGAATGGGAACACCCTCCAGGTAAGAAGGCTGATGCATCCAAACCGCAGGACCCATGATATACATGTTAAATCTATCCCTGTGCTCCCAATTCCTGCCTTTACCCATCCCACCAGCCCTGTGGGACAAAGCTAGGACCATGGCCACCTCACACCATGAGGACAGAAACCCACAGCACATTGTCCCTGCCTCCCTGCTCAGCAGCCCTGGAGCTGGTTACTGTCTGAACCATGGGATGAATGAAAAGCCATTAATTCCCTCCTGAGCATTTTTATGAGGCTCTTGATAAAATGTCTGGATGCTTCAGCACTGCAGGAGTTTGATGCTGGCAGAGCTCTGCGCCAACTGAAAACCCCATCTCCAGGGTTGAACAGGCTGCTGGCCTCTCTTCTGTGTCCTGTGTCCTCTGCTCAGTCCCTCTTGAGCCAAATGTGCCCAAAATTGCAGCAAATCATCCTCTCTGCCTTAGCCAGTGCTGTCCCAGGGCACAGGACAATGAATGAATCCATCCCAAAAGCTAACACCCCAAATGTGTGTACCCACAGCCTCCACCTCCAGTGGGGCTCCAGGAAAAATAAGGCTCCTGACTCTTAGCTTTGCAGACCCTGAAGGGGGGAGCCCTGTCAGAGGAACATAGTCCTGCCCCAAGGTTGGAAAGGATCCTTGAAAAGGAGAGGGTGACCCTTAACATCCCACAAAGCCCAGTTCTGCTAAGCAGGTGCTGCTGCTGGGTCTGTAATTGCATCTTTACTCTGCAACATCTCCCTAAATCCCTTGGCCTGCAGCAGCACTCCTCCTAAGCCCCCAGAAACCCTCTTTAGTGCCCCCAGCATCCCTACTTATTCCCTTCCAAGCATTCCTCCTAAATCCCTGCCAACATTGGTCCCCAAATCCCTCCTCAGCATTCCTGCATCATTCTCCCTCCAGCACCCTTCCAGCTCCTTTCCTCACCCCACAATATCCCTCTTGAATCTCCCTGTAACATCCTCCCAGACCTTCTCAAAGCCCTCAAACCCATCCCTCTAACCTCATAATACATGGTGGGGAGAGTGAAGGAGAAAAAGAAAAAGCAGAGGGCAAGGGGGAACTGGAGACCCCCCCGGCTTTGCTTTGTGGACAAGGGGGCTGTTTGTCCCCCTGCTTTCATACAGACAAAGAAAACCCGAAAGAGTCATAGCGCCGGGAACCATCGTGCTCCCCCTCCAGCACGGGGAGCCTCGCCGGCTCCGGGGATGGGTGACAGGCAGGGACTGGGAGGAGCTGGGGGGAGAGACAGGGATTAAGAAGGCAAGCGGGGAGGGGAGGTGGAGGCAGGCATGGGAGAGAGGGGGTGCAGGTAAAGAACTGGCTGGTGGGAAAAGAGGCAGGGATTGGGAAGAGCGAGGGTCAGGCAGCGGCTGAGAAGACAAGAACCGGGAGGGGAGTCTGGCAGGGATGGGAAGAGAGAGCGACAGGCTTGGGGGCGGGGGGGCGCCGTGGAGGNCCCGTGGAACTGTCCTCGGTGCTGCCCACGGCCACTGCCACCCCCTGGGGCAACGGCACCACCTGGGCCCCCCTGCCTGGACACGGGGTCAACGACACGGGGCCGCAGCGGGCCAAGAACGCCACATCCATCCTGATCGCCATCGTCATCACTGCGCTCTACTCCGTGGTGTGCGTGGTGGGGCTGCTGGGCAACGTCCTGGTCATGTACGGCATCGTCAGGTGAGAGCCGGGCACCCCGGACGCTGCCCACGGGGGCTGGGCGTGCGCAGGGGGCCAGGGCCACTTTGGGTGAGTGTGAGAGCACCGATGGGGCCAGGTGGTGCCAGGGGTCACTGTGCAGCACATGGAAGGTGTGAGACGGTAACACTGAATGGGTGTGCACGAGGGGTGAATGTGCACCCGGGCTGAGACGGAACCAGGAGGGAATTCGCACTGAGAGAAAGTGTGCACAGGGGTGAGTGTGTGGCTGTGCGTCAACAGCAGCAGAAGTAGGTGTGCACCGGTTGTGAGTGCGCAGCAGGCACGAGTCTGCACTGGGTGTGAGTTTGCCCCAGGTGTGAGTGTGCACCGAGTGTGCGCCAGCAGCAGGGGGAGGGTTCGGTGTGCACCTGTGTAGTGTAGGCAGCCTGGAGATGGGCGTGCTGTGTGTGTGAGCAGTACGTGTGCGAGCTGTGCAAGTGCGGGGGGAGCAGGTGGTGTGCGAGGGGTGAAAGCAGAGGCCATGCGTGCCTGGAGCAGCTCGGGGAGTGCACGGGGGCTGTGTTGGGGGGAGGCCCATGGGGGACACAGCCCAGCCCCAAGCAGGTGCCCCTTGTTCTTTGTGAGGAAGAGAAGCTGCAGGGCTGGTCATGCTGCAGGCTGGGATCCGTCCTGTTTGCAGGGTGGGTCCAGAACCCCCTGCCCCCCAGACAGGGGCTGGTGGGTTCCCACTGCTGCCACCCCACCCAATCAGTAGGAATTACCCACCCAGCCCATTCCCAGTTCCTTCTTGTTCACCTCCTGCAGCTGCCTGACTTCTGTTTTTCTCTAACAAAGAGGAGAAACCGCATGGCCCAGCCCCATCTCCCACAACAGCTGAGCTGTCCTCTGGTCCCCTCAGTGTGTACCATCTCCAGCAGCCAAGAGACCTTTGGCTCCATCCAAGACCTCAGCACCTGTGGTGAGGCTTTCCCTGGGCAGAGACTGGGTCTTGCAGGGTCTCTGCACCCCAGGACAAGCAACATGACCCAAATGCTCCCCATTTTAAAGATGGGGCATGGCAAGATGCTGCTGCATCCAACCAGGCACTTGTGCTAAGATACAAAATCTTGTCAGTCCCTTTGTCTGAGACACTGGTTGGTCCTGCCTGGATAAGATGGGTTGACGTGGAAAATGGGACCATAAAGCAAAGTTTCGTAGCGCACAGGACCAGTGGCAGCAGTGAGGGGTGACAGAACTCCTCCACAGCCCTGCCAACAGCAAAGCATGGGGCTGTGCTTGCAGTCACATTCTGTGCAGACGCAGACTCCAATAGCCTGGCAGGAGGGAGCAGAGGGGTCTCACTGGGTGCCTGGGTTTTGCAGCCACACCCTCTGCACTGGAGTGGGCTTGGTCCTGTAGGTCCAGAATTTGTGGGGTAATTCCAATTCCCATTGCCTCAGGTGGTGCTGTAACCCTAGCTTGGCCAAAACCTTAATGCCAAACCAGAGCTGGTGGCTGGTTTTAAACAAACCCCCCAAATTCCTGATTTTTAACCCTCAATTCCCCATCCCTTTTGGTATTGTTAACAGGAGGTCAGCATAGCCTGGCACTGCCTGTGCACAAATAAATGTGGTGACTCACCAGTGGGAAGGAAACTATCCTGAAACGTGTCAATGGGCACCCTGGAGTGCCCATTGCCCTGGTATCAGGCTCTGCTGCCCCTGCCCCCCACTCTCTGTGGGACTCTGCTGTGTCTTTTTAACCATCCAAGAGGGTCAACAATGGGGAATGGAATCGAGGAGTAACTCACTGACCCGACCTAACCCCTAATGGGATTTTTCATCCACTCAAAGCAGCATTAAAAACGAGCCCTGGTCTGAAAAAGCAAATTGAGGTAATTGCAGCAGAGACAGATACCATGAGCAATGTCAGGGCGAGGGATGAGTGTTATTAGAGCCCCTCCAGCTGGTTCTGCTCAGAGAGGAGAGAGAATTTTAAATTTTAAAGCATTTTAAAGAGAGTGATTTCATGTGCAAACAACATCCTCCCTATTTTACTCACTGAGTAACTGCATGTTAGTCAGGCTTTAGCAAACTTGACAGCCACAGATCCCATCACCACAGCTTCTAGGCCCCCATTTTCCAGCTGATGATGGATTTAAACACAGAATCAGAGAATCACAGAATGGTTTGTGTTGGAAGTGACATTACAGACCATCTTGTTCCACTACCTATGGCATCTTGTTCCAACCCATGGCAGGGTTGCCTTCCACTAGACCAAGTGGGTCCAAGCCCTGTCCAAGGTGGCCTTGAACACTTCCAGGGATGGGGAATATCTCCCATGAAATGGGCAAATATCCTCCAAGCTGCTGGGATGGGAGGGGCTGCAGGGACATGTGCCTTAGCCCCTTCCATGGCCAAAGCCACCTGGAGTTTCCCAGGGGTCCTTGCCAGCAGGGTTTAGGCCAGGACTAGGGGAGACCTGTGTCTGTGCAAGAAAAGGCTAGGAGATGGGATCAGCTTGGATTTGAACCTCACTGCCAGGAAGATTCTGGGAGTTTGTCTTGTGCTCTTCTCCTTGTGCCACCTTTCAGTGCCCTTGGGGTCCAGGAGAGTGTCCAGGCGGTCTGGAAGCACAGCTGGAGCACATCCTGGCCTGTATATAGCTCTGTGAGTGGACACGCTGTGAGCTGAGCACAGCCAAACTCCAAATAAATCTCTCTCCAGAGCAGCCAAACCCATCCACACACCTGGAGGGAGCCCAGCACACCCAGCACCCTCTCCACCACAGCTCTGACCAGCACTACCATGCCCCCTGCATTGTCAGATGCTTTTAAAAATACTCCTGGAAGCAATTTGCAGTTGTGAGCTCAGGGCTGCAAGTGCCCTCATCCCCACTGAGCCCATCAGCCCCCCACCAGCTCCCACACAGGCTGCAGGGACAGCTGGGTGCAGGCTTTGTCAAGACAGGCTCTTTCAGGAGGCAGCTTTTAGCAGCTCCAGGAGTTTTTCTTTCACTTATTATTCAGTTTTCTTTCACTTATTTATTTTCCAAGAGGTTTGGAGAGGGCATCCCTACTTGGGAGTCGAGACTGGAGTGCAGAGCTGCCCTGTGTTTGTCCCATCCCCTCCCATCTCTTCTCTCCATCAACACCTCCCAGATGGTTCTGTTCAAGTACATAACTTCCCAATCAAGGCACTCACTTAATTGCAATGGGTTTGGCAGCCTGGGGAGCTCCATCAGCAGCAGTGGATGGTTTGCTCTAATTTGTGTAATAAACCTTTCCTGGAGCAGCAGTTTCATTTGCAGCTCAGGAGGCTCACCAGGATGGATGCCTCACCCTGTGCAGGGGGTTGAAATCTCAGCCCAGGTATGGAGGGAGCTAAATCTTGCCCCAAAACCCCACTGCTGGAGGCTAAATTGCCATTCTTATTATCCCAGTCATCCCTATCACCATCCCAAGTCTTTCCTCTCATCCCAGTCAACCCCATCATTCCAGTTATGATCTTCATCATCCAGGTTATCTCCATCCTCATCCCAGTTATCCCTGTCATTCCAGTCCAATGCATTGTCAGAGTCAACCCATCATCCCAGACATTCCCATTATCATCCCAATCATCTCCATTATCCCACTGGTCCCTGACACTGCTTTGCCCTCACCAGCTCCATCCTGCCTGGGGATGGGTGAGAGCTCTGGCCCTCCAGTCCCCCACCCCTGGCACATCTGGCAGGGGGTTGGGAAGTGCTTACCCAGCACAGCCAAGCACATCTGGGAGACCATGGAATGAATAACAGATTTTTTTTACCATTTTACTCAAAATACAGAGACCAAAGACTTGTGAATCTGCCTGAACTGACTGTTCACATAGGAGAGGCAAAACCTGACAATATCACAAATTCTCAGCTCTTTGTTTAACCTGGGAGGAAACTTTTCTGCAAAAGCACTTGGAAAATAACACTAAAAAGAATGGAAAAGGACTTTTCAAGGACAAGACATTTTTAATGCCATATTTAAATTTTAAAAAAAGCTCAGCTCGAGTATTTCCACCCTTGGGCAATGGGCTGCCATTTGCAGCCATGGTGAAGGAGACAGGAATGCTCTTGGAGCTGGGTTAAGCTGCTGTTTTCTATTTTTTCCCAGAAAGAAATTAGTTTTTCAGCTCCAGCTGCCAGTTCTATTGACAATGGAACCTGGTGGGTCTCTGTCCCCACCAATACACTCTCCTGACCCTGCTGAGATGGAGGAAGGGGAAGGGATTTGGTACACCATCAATCCCAGGAGCCTCTTTCCCACACCAACCTGCTGTCCTGGGCTCCAGCCAGGGCAGGACCACCTGAGATGGGAGCCAGTTAATCCCCCCACCTCAGTTTATCCCATGTGCCCCCAGCATGTGATGAGCTGTGCCAATTATCACAAAATCCTAGAATGCTTTAGATTGGAAGTAACTATAAATCTCATCTTATTGTACTCCCTGCCATGGGACACCTTCCACTATCCCAGGTTGCTCAAAGCCCCATCCAACCTGGCCTGGAACACTTCCAGGGATGGGGCAGCCACAGATTCTCTGAGCAACCTGTGCCAGGGCCTCACCACCTTCATATCTGAACCAAACCTATGCTGTCAGTTTAAAACGATCTTGACCCTATCACTCATGTAAAAAATTGCTTTTTATCAATAAGTACTCCAAGGAAAACAATCTTTTCATCCCAGCAATGAAGATGTCATCTACCCCCTCCATGCCTTATTCCAGTGCTGGTACAGGCAGGTTTACCCATGCACAGAGATGGTTTTGTGTGAACTGACCCTGATGTTAATTAATTAGGGTACATCTAAAAAAGCTTGGGGCTGAGGAGGATGCTCTGAGCAATGGAGATTTGCTGGAAGGGAGCCCAGGAAGCAAAGAGCAGTCTTCCACAGAGCCACTCCCACCCCACGTGTGTTGCGCTTTGAGGGTGCCCAGCAGATCCCTCAGTATGTATTTCCAAGCCACCATGCCATTCAAAGCATCCCCAACACTTGCAGGGCTGGATGCCCCTGGGACACACACACACACACACACACACACACACACAGACATCCCTGCTGCTCTGGCATCTGCCATAACTTTGCTTCATCCCTTCACGAAAGGTTTGGACATGAGGGACCAGGCATTTCTCTTGCCATGGTGTGACAAGAACCAGAAGCAGAGTCAGCCCTTCCCAAATGCCCTGGGGGATACAGCCAGGCTTCCCCAAAGGCTCTGGAGCTCCAGGCTGGCTAATTGGGCTGCTTCCAGATGGCCGGTTTCCGGGGGTAATCGATTCAATTTCTGCAAGCAAACTTGACGGGGAAATAGGCTGGATAATCACAATTTACTATCTGGAAAATCAGATAAAGGAGGGTTGAGGGGATAAAGGATATTTTGCAACTGGTTCAGGGTAATGGAGCAAATCAATCTCATTGGAGGATTGAGTTCTCTGGAAAGTTCTTTATTCCTTCAGAGTAATATATTACACTATATATTATATTCAGTGTGCTCCCTGGTGCACCTGGAAAGCTGTTGAGCACATTGGTGCTGCAGAAAGGTTCATCACAACACTCTTGCCCACCAAGGCTGGTGTCACCTTGTGAGCAGACAGGCTGTGCCCCTTCCTCATCACATCAAGTGCCCTGACCACCTGTAGCATGTCCTTTCTCTGCCACCCCCAGGTATACCAAGATGAAGACAGCCACCAACATCTACATCTTCAACCTGGCGCTGGCTGATGCACTGGCCACCAGCACGCTGCCCTTCCAGAGCGCCAAGTACCTCATGGAGACTTGGCCCTTTGGGGAGCTGCTCTGCAAGGTTGTGCTCTCCATTGACTACTATAACATGTTCACCAGCATCTTCACCCTCACCATGATGAGTGTGGACCGCTACATTGCTGTGTGCCACCCAGTCAAGGCCCTGGACTTCCGCACGCCAGCCAAAGCCAAGATCATCAATGTCTGCATCTGGGTGCTCTCCTCCCTTATCGGGGTGCCCATCATGGTCATGGCGGTCACCAAGTCAAAAGGCAAGTGTTTCTGTCCGTCCCTTCCTGTTCCATTAGTCCATCCCAGGGGTGACCTGGCAAACTTGACCTCTGGTCCTGTAGCAGATGTGTGGTCAGTGGTGGGCACCTCTCCATGACACCATAAATGTGCCCTGTCTTGGAAAAAGCATCATGGTGTTATTTCCCATCTTGGAAACTGTCCCAGAAATTGTCCTCCGTTCCACTTAAGGGTAGGGATCCCACACCTTTCCCCATTGTTAGTCTAACCAGTGCCTCTCCCCACCTCCTAGGATGCAAATCAGGTGCCTAAAAAAGCCCCCAGGAATGCTGCAAGGTCTCTAAGTGGCCCACACTAAGATCTGCAGCTCCTGTGTGGGGATGCTGGCCCTTGACTGCTAGGAAAGCTGTGGGCATCTCGAGGAAATGGACAGATTTCAGTGGAGGGTGACATGGGGATCTGAGATGGGGATGTCCACCATGGGGTTGGGAGAAGGCAGGATTGGCCTTGAATGGCCCAGGCAGTTCCGTAGAGAAAAGGTTCCAGGGTCCCTGCATCCCCCTCAATGTCTTGTGGACAGGGGTCTGATGGCACAGAGCTCCTGGGGAATCTCTGGCAAGAACAGGCAAGCAGGAATGCATCTCCCTGGGGGTTTAACAAGCCATAACTGAGCAGAAGGCAGAGTATTCTCAGCAGACACTCTACCAGATTCCTCTTTGACCCTCCTTTCTCCTTCAGATGGTATGGTCCTGTGCACTCTCCAGTTTCCTGACCCTCCCATCTACTGGGACACTGTGACCAAGATCTGTGTCTTCATCTTTGCCTTCCTGGTCCCCATTTTGGTCATCACCATCTGCTATGGGCTGATGATCCTTCGCCTGAAGAGTGTCCGGCTCCTCTCAGGCTCTAAGGAGAAGGATCGCAACTTGCGGCGCATCACACGCATGGTGCTGGTGGTGGTGGCAGCCTTCATCATCTGCTGGACACCCATCCACATCTTTGTCATCGTCTGGACGCTGGTGGACATAGACAAGAAGAACCCCTACGTGGTGGCCAGCCTGCACTTCTGCATCGCTCTGGGCTACACCAACAGCAGCCTCAACCCTGTCCTTTATGCTTTCCTGGATGAAAACTTCAAGAGGTGCTTCCGAGAGTTCTGCTTGCCTTTCCGAGCCCGGGTGGACCAGAACAGCTTCTCCCGTGCCAGGAACACCACGAGGGAGCACGTCTCCACCTGCACCCCCTCTGAAGCCCGCAACAAGCCAGTATGACTAGACGTGGGCAGCCCAGAGCAGGGCTGCCAGGGACATGGAGATGAGCTGCGCTCAGAAGTCACCCAGGTCACCACCACAGAGTTGTAGCAGTGATCGCCTGGGTGCTGCTCAGTAACACTGCTGGGTTTGCATACAGGATGACTGCAAAAACTTTTTTCATCCTGGGAAAGAAAAATGGGAGAATTGGGACTCACCAAATGATGTAGATGACCATATCAAGAGGTGAGTGAGCTCTACTGCTGCCACCATCTCAATCAATAACACCCAGCAGGGGCTGTCACCCTCCAACACGTGGCTTTTGGCAGAGCCCAGGGCACCAGAACTGCAATGTCCATGTGCTTCTCCTCCTGCATGGGGCAGGATGACACCACAGCCGACAGAAAGAGGGGAAACACTCACATGGCAGAAAGTAACTGTGCCAGGAGGTGATCATAGGATCACAGAATCATTCAGGTTGGAAAAGCTCTGCAAGATCATCAAGTTCAACTATCCTTCCACCACTACCAAGGCCACCACTAGCCCATGTCTCCAAGTGCCACATGCACATGATGATGGTTAAATCTCTCCAGTGATGGTTACTCCACCACTGCCCTTGGCAGCTGTGCCAGGACTGGACAACCCTTTCAGTGAAGAAATGTTCCCTAATATCCAGCCTAATCCTCCCCTGTAATGACTTGAGGCCATTTCCTTTGCCACGTCATGGGACCTCATTCCATCCCCCTCTGAGCTGTGTCCAAAAGACAATTGGAGATGGGAAGAGAAACTCATGCCACTTCAGAGACACTGTTTTGAAAAAGCTCCAGACCCATTGTAAAAATTCTCCTGGAGTCCCTCAAACTGGGATTATTCCCAGGGAAAGCTTTCTACTGTTAATGTCATTACTGTGTTGTTTAGAGACCTCTGACTGCAGCTAAGGCTGCCCTGGACCTGGATGTGATGCTAAGAATATGGATGTGTGTGGCCAGGGGATGGAGCAGGCATGTCTGAAGCTGACCCCCATATCCTTGTGCCAATATCAAATTCCCAGGGTGACAGGGAACTGATGAAGTCATTAGGCCCAAGAAGAACCTTGTTAAGGGAGTAATTTGTGGGAACTTGAGTTGCTTCTCACACTGCTAAAGTAATTAGGATGGAATAACAGGCTGCACCAAAGGCTCTCCCTCCCCTGCCCATCAGGAGGATGAAAAACAGCACAGCGCAGATTTTCATAGCAGAGACAAAAACAATAGAATGGGGTTGTGGGTTTTTTTACTTAGAAAATCTCAAAAAGAACACCTCCCTTTCACAATTCCCCAAGCAGGGACAGAGGTTGTGCAGGCACCTAGAAAGGACCCACAGCCCACAGGAGGCAGAGATTGAGGATTTCAGCTCTCATCTGTATGGAACAGCATCCCTCCAAAGGGACAGCTGAACTGCAACTCCCAGTGCATCCTGCAAGAACCACCATCCAGGGACCGCCTGACCACATTATCTACAGCTGAATGATAATTAATGGGTTCTCCTGCTCCCTGAAGCACCCCTCCAGCCCCATGCCACATTCATTCCTTCCTTCCTCTCACCTTCCCATTGTCATTGCCAGGTGGTCAGCCAGCCCAAGGAGGAGGATGATCAGAGGAAGTAGTAATAGCATTTAGAGAACAGATACACCTGGAGGAAGCAGGCGAGCACCCAGATGCACCTGGGGCTCATGCAGAGCTTGATGCAGAGCTTGGCTTGTGTCTCAAGTTGTATCAATTTAGACTAATAAAAGTCATCACCTCTCCTCACCAGCCCCACCTTTCTCCAGAACTGTGGAAATTGAAGCCCTCTCCATTAGAAAGACAGAGCCCACGAGGTAGTCAAAACCAATTTCTCTTTCAAAGGGAAACAAATAGGGTGACATTGCCCATTGAGATCTCAAATCAATTGTGCTGATGCATGCTAATGGTCCTCCCCATCTGCCTGCCCTGTGTCAATGTGCCACAGGCAAAGCCTCCTGCTCAGTGCTGTATCCACCTGGACGTCTCCAGCTCATGTCCAGGCCTCTTCAGGATCTCTTTGCAGGCATGAATGGAGTCCTGGACTAGCAGCGTGGCCACACTTTGGGCTTCTCACCCCCTGCTACCACAAGCCCATCTGCTTATGGAGCATCATATAAGGGAAAGCACGATCAGTTCCAGGGCAGGAATTGGGGGGAAATCCCAAGGGTCACATAAAGCTGAGCTTCAGACCCTGTGAGAAGAAAGACTAATGTATCCAGGAGTTGGAGACCATCCTTCAGCTCTTCACCTCTACCCACCCTGGGGCAGAACCCTCAGCAGCATGTGGTGGGTTCAGAGCTGGTTGATGGTGAGGGCCCAGCCATGGAGGGATTTCAGCGTGTCCCATCAGGCTGGATGTTCCTGCAGGGGTGGGATGCATCGTGCTGTGGAGCAGGACATTCTGGACTTCACTCTAAGCTCCAGCATGAAGCTGAATTCCAGCCTGATATCTCAAATTGTGGGGCACCCTTAAAAGATGTGATGTCCCCATACCATTGGTATCTTCAAGCTGTCTTAGCCAGTGCCTCAGTATCCCCTAAAAACCAACCACATGTTGGAAGCTGGGAATGGCACAACAGAGAGCAGTGTTTCCCACAACAGCACAGGGACAAATGGGGGACATGGGGGAAGTGAACCCCAGCAGCAGGGATGGAGCATCCTTGCTCTGGCACAGCCTCATTGAGGACATGTCATTGGTGTGGGGACCAAGAACACCCCACCCATGAGTGCTGGGAGCTGCAGGTTGACTTGGGGCTTCACGAGCAGCTCGGCCACCCTGCAAAGCTCAGCCCCCACTTTTCCCAGCCCCACAGGGCCTTTTTTCATCTGCCAAATTCCTAGCATGCTGGAAAATGTGACTGCCATGGCCTTAAAGTGAGTTAAATGCTTCAAGTCATTACTTTGTAAAATGCCACCATGCTTGGGCAGATTTTGGAGCCCAGGACACAGCAAAGACAGTGGCTTTCCTGAGCTTCAGGTTTGCTGACTTAAAGAAAATCAGAGTATTCCTGGGAAAAATGGGTGGCAAGCAGCACACCAGAGCATATGGGGTGACATGGACTTCGATCATCCCATTCCAGCAGCATCCCAGCAGGGATCTGGGGGCTGATTCAGCTTCTTCCCACCTAAAAACCAACTCCTCCAGCCCCTCCTCTGGGCTGGGAAACTGGGAACAAATCCTAGTTCAGGGAAACAGCACTGAGAGATCCTGCCTGCCCAGACTGAGCCATGCTGTAGCCAGGATGCTTGGAGGGAACTCTTTGTGTACTTTTATAAATATATATGTCTGTCTATAGCTATATATATGTATGTCTGTCTATAGCTGTATGAAATTAAAGTGACCCCAAGGCCTCCTGTCACACCTCCCACTGCAGCAGCTTCTCCATGTGTGATAGAGCTGAATATGCCGGATCCATAGCATCTCACAAAGTACTTCAGCCACTATTTTCAGCTCCAACCCTTGGGATTTTTGCCTTACAGTGGCATTTTTGTACAGAAACCCTGCTTTATAAAAATTAAAATAATAAAGTAAAATAAAATCAGCATCAGGAAGCAATTTCCAGCTTTCTGTGAAATGTCTTTTGATGCCTGTGACTCCCAGGCATCAAAAATGAGCAGGATCTGGCTCAGGGGAGTGGTCTGGGGAGTGATGAAACTACCTCTCAAATTTACTCTTTCCTCCGAGGGATGGGGAGGCCCTGGCACAGGATACCCGGAGAGGCTGTGGCTGCCCCTGGATCCCTGGAAGTGTCCAAGGATGGATTGAGTGGGGCTTGGAGCACCCTGGGACAGTGGAAGGTGTCCTTGCCCGATGCAGGGCATGAAACTGGATGAGCTTTAAGGTCCCTTCCAACCCAAGCCATTCCATGTTTCTAAATTCAAATTCTAAAAACTCACCTCAGCCCTTTAGCTGAGATTGTTTGCAAGCCCAAGTCACCAAAAACTTCTTCTGCCACTGGTCATCAAGATATATTTTACAAGCCTAGCAGCTCAAATTCTGGCCCAAATTACATTTTTAATTTAAATACAAATGAGGATTTAGCAAAAAAGCAACAGAATTGGGTGTTGGAGCCTGTAACTTTGCTCTGGCTTAATGAGACTTTGGATTTTAAGGTATATATCACTTCTGCTGTGTAGGTTTCTTAGCTCCCAAAGAAAGGGGAGCCATAAAGAACACAGACAGGAGGAGAAAACCAGATTTCCAGCCTGGAGGTGTTGTTTAGCCAGGGTATCACTGCTGCAGCACCACTTGAGGACCCCCTCCATTACCCAGCACTCCGGGAAAACTGAGCCAGGCACCGATTCCGGTGATTTCACCACCAGTCCAGATTAATTATGTGGCAACCTGTGCTGGCACACACCAACCAGCTATTCCAGAAATGTTTGCAGCCCAAAAACATGTGTTACTGCAGGAAACATCCTCTCCCCTGTTTTTGGGGGGTTTTTTTCTTTAATTAACCCACCAAATAATGAATCCTGATGTACTGAGTTTGTGATTAATTATGATGATGCTGGTTTCTTTGTCTGCAGGTTTCGGCTGATGTTGGTATTGCATTAATATGCAGATGGAAATTAATGGATCTCTTTAATGGGGAGGACAGGAGAAAGATCTCCCACCTTCCTGACCTCAGAGCAGCCTGGGGTGGATCCAGGCTCTCCAGCCCAACAGAGATGCTTGTCTTGCAATTCATCATTTAACAGGGAAAAAAAATTACTAGGAATAATTCCCAGAGGATTTTTTTTCTCCTTTCAGACTTACAAATTCTGCTTAATTTTTACTGTTTTATTCCCTGAGCAAATGGGACCTGGAGGAACATGCAGGAAGGGGATGGAGGCTGCCTGGGATCCTGTGTGAGCACTGGGGCTCCTCCAGGCAGGGACAGAGCCAGGATCCCCTTCCACAGCTCATTATTGTGTGAACCATATGAGACTTTCCCTATTCTTGGCCTGTTGTAATGGGAAAGGAACCAAGAGTTCAGCAGTTTGGGGAGGGGGCAGAGACACCCCCCACACCACTATTTCAGCCCAGTTCTCAAGAGACCCAAGACACACTTCTACCAGGAGCCACACCAGAGCACTGCATGTTCCAATTATCCTGGGATATACTGGTCAGGCAGCAGCCTTGATGATGGGATTCAGGGAAGACAGCCCAGTACAATACCAAACTGCCGTTTGCAGACCCATCATTAAACCTCATCACAGGTAGCTTGGCCATAATTAAAGCTCATTTCCTCTTCCAGGCAGGAGAGGAAAAACAAGAAAATAATCTCAGTATCCTCCAAACCCTCCTGAAGACGCAATTCCCTCCCTGCAGATCCTGCAGCACCTCTGCATAGGTATAATTTTTGTATCTAAAACAGTAACATGTTAAAAACATGAAAAAAAATCGTTTAAAAACCTCACAGACAACGAAGTGCTTTTATTCTGGGCTCAAAAGATCTCCACACCACCAAGACACATCCTCCATGGATGCTAAAGCCCTAAAATTCCACTTTCCCAGCTTTTGTCTGTTAATCAAAAGCCTTTTATGCACTTCCAATAGCAACCAGAGTGTGGGACTGGAGCTTCCAGCTGGTGATGAGGGAGAGTATGGAGGTGTCAGTGCTGGAAAACCTCCACCATGGACTGAGGCTTGATCCTGACACAGGCAAGCGTCTGCTCCACAGGACCCAAATTCCTCCTCCTTATCCTCAAAATGCCCCCAATTCATTTTGTGAGCACAAAACCTTGTTAATGAGATACTTCCCTTTCCTCAATTAAGCTGTTTTCCTTTGCCCACCCTCTCCCCGCTGTGTGGGGGGCTCATCCTTCCCCCAGTTTCCAGCACCTTCCCACTGAAGTGTCACTCTGACTCCCAAGACAATGGCTGATTCATCTCTTCTGAATATTTTAAATCTGAAGTGTTTTCCCCCAGGTCTTTTCCCCCTTGTTTCTTGAAAATACCAACATATTCAAAAGACATGTTTTCCCCTTTCCAGGAACAGGACCAGACCCTCAAGGACAGCTACAATCCCATCTCATTTGGGAATTACCTAGGTTTTCTCTGCGTCTGCGGGAGCCGAAGCAAGGAATTGCATTGGCTCCTGGCAGGATCCAACCCTGTGGTGACCACATAGCAGTGCCACCACTGATCCTGTTCCTGCTGCAAGGAATTGCCCAAATGTGGGAGATAGATGCAAAAACCTGTCCATATTGGGGATAGGGAGGAACGGGGAGCACTGGGATGTGGGATTTTAGCTCCCAGCTCCCCAGTAGCTGAGGCGGTTTTTGGATAATGTTGCTGGGAATCAAGCCCGAGACAAAGAGCAGTTTCTCCATCAGGTATCCAGCAGATCACATTTCACTGAAGAGCATCAAATGGTGATGGTCCCCAGGGAGCAGAATTAGTCACGGGATTAGAGAGCAGTTACCCATGGCCCAGCCTGCAGTCATGGCAAAATATGAGCTCAGTCCCTCACAATATATCATTCCCCATGGGCCCATATCCCAACTTCACAGAGGGAAAAATAAAGTCCTTTACAAACCCAGGACTTCAAGCACCAAAACAAACCCACCTGATGGGAGGTGGGTGTCCCCAGTTCAGGCTGAACCTACAGAGGCCATCCCTGGTCCAAGCTCATCCTACATGGCAGCAGCAGAGCTGCCAACAAGCTGAGCTGCTCTCAGTGCCTGAAGCCCATCCCTGCTCAAAGGAACATTTAGGAACTGAGTGAAGAAAAGAACATTTAGGGACTGAGAAACAGCTACCTGGGGCTCCAGTCACATCAGGACGTGGGCATTTGCCCCCTGGCTTCCAGTCTCCACATGAATGTCTGGCTCAGCTCCAGCTGGGAGCACCCAGCAGGGACATGCCAGGATCCTTCCAGCTGTGCCACAGGCTTGGTTGTGTCCCTGGGGACCCAAAGACCAGGAGTGAGCCATCAGACAGGCAAGGAACTGAAGAGAGGGTGACAGAGAGGACAGGGCCCATCCCCTCTCCCAGAGCCAACAGCTTCCAGAGAAGTCTCCTGCTGCCATCTGGTGTCCAAGCCCCCCATCCAGCACAGACACTGTGCTGGCACCACCAGAGCTCCCCAAAACGCAGGCACCCCTCCCAACTCTCCCCAGGAACCACAGCAGGCCCCGTGGAAGAACTGCCCACCCCTCCAAAGCACAGGAAAAGCCTGGGTTTATCAAATCTCAGTTTATTCCAAATGCTACAAGATGAGTTTTTTGTCCTTTCCGCCTTGATTAATCAACCAAAATACATTTTCTTTTTTAAAAAATCCAACCCCTTTGGAACCATTGTATAATCCCAGACCCCCCTCCCCAGCCACAAACCCCCTTCCCCTATTGCTAAAATTTATCTCTTTGCAGACCCTTCCTCAGTCCAGGTACCTAGAAGGCACCTCCTGCAAGGAGAGTCTGGAGCAGGCTGGGCACAGGAAGCAGGACCAGCTGGATCAGGGAGGTGACGGCAAGGAGGAGTCCTGTTGTTTCCTGGTCCTGTATGTCTCTCCATGCATAACTGGGGTCTGGGTGTCTGCTCAGCAAGGTCCTAACAGCAAATGAAGCTCCTTCAGCAAGTGAAAGAGAAAAAATTTAAAGTAACACTGTTCTCACCCGTGGGATGGATTTGATTGGGTTTCCAAAGGCAAAGCCAAAGAGGGAGTGGCCAGGACTGCAAAAAGCAGTGCTGGAGGTGGCTGCTCCAGGTCATGGGGAGCAGGGAACCTGCTCCTGGCCTCACTGTTTTGTGGGGGGGGTTCAGGTTAGATATTTGAGGGATGGGAGGAAGTAGCCCCCCTTCCTTTTTCCAGTGATCATAGAGTGCTAGGTATCATCCAGCAGCCTTCTCCCTCACCAGGCAGAATATCCCCACAGCAGCCACAAGTTCTATATTAGATCGAGCTTCCTGGGCACATTTCTGTTGTACTCAGATCTGTCTGGAACAGGCTCAGAGGGGTTTGGTGGGTGGCAGCAGACAAATCCAGGCCAGAGAGGTATATTTAGGTGAAGGGCGTGGAGAAGCATCCAGATGTGGGGAACATGGGGGCCTCAGGGAGACTGATACCCAAACTTGATTGCAGAGTGAAGAACAAGACCCTCAGCTTTGCTGGGCCGGGAAATGTTAAAAAACCAGACGAGAAGAAGTAGAAATCCATCCAGGCACAGAACCGGGATCAGTTTAGGACCAAGCTGATCCGGGGAGCTGACAGAGCACTGGGCACCACAGGAAAACAAACACTTCCAGGGAGAACCCATGTTCCAGCCACACAGGTGCTGCTGGGCCTAGCTCCATGAGCCTCCTGCCCTCCCCAAGTAATCGGCTCCCCAACCCAGGCAGAAGTTGTGGGGGGTCTGGGGGGTCCTGTGATCCCGCTGGG